TTCCTTTTGCCATAACAACAGAATTGGCCAATAGAACTGAACTGACAACCAATCAGCTGTGATCATTTGAAATTTTGCACTTTTGCATTTGTCTTGATGAGTGCAAGATGAACATCATTGGCAATCTTTATCTCTTTCTGGTAATATTGAGGATCTGCATCACCGAGACAGACTGCGGTATAGACACTAAATAAATTTATTGTAGTGTATTTATTGTAGAAATAAATACACACAATTTTGTGATGATATGTAATACCAGCATGTTCCCTCTTCAGTAGTACAACTCTACCTCTGAGTTAGGAGACCTGGGTTCAAGTCCCACTTGTTCCAAAGGTGGGTAATAACATCTCTGAACAGGATGATTAGACAATAGTTTTAATGTTAATAACACCACAAGAGCCAAAATAATTCATTTTCTTTCTGCATCACGATTCCTACAACTTTCTCTCACTTCAGTGTTGCATTTGCTCACCTTAGAGCTGCCATGTTTGAAATGGAAGGAGAGTGAGAGCGAGAGTGTGCACCAGGTGAGACTGTAGATCTGTTCTGGCTTGGAAAGGAGGAGAAGTTTTGGAATGGAGATGCGATAGGTGACTCTCCCTTTGAGACACTTCTGAGGTGAGCAGTCAGAGAACTGCTGGTGACGATCTGCTGAGGGGTTCCTGCCGTGCTGGGACATCTTAGAACTGTGTTTTGTTCCTGTTGGGAGAAATACAAAAATTCAAGCCTTGCATTAAAAGGTAAATATATGCATGTCAAAATGTAGGCCAGCTTGATAAAACATTGCACACTCTCTCTCATGGTTTTCAGTGACAGCATTATTGTCCAGTCGGAGGGGACTGGGCTTTCAATTCGTCATCTCTCCTGAGCCCACCTGCCACTTACAGCATGAACTGCTTAAAATAATAGGTATTCTGAAAAGGCTAATCTCCAGTACATCAGGTGTCGAAACCACAATGTCGTACAACAGGAGGAAGAAAGAATTACACATTACAGTCAGGGTGAAGGAACAGACAGTGGACGTGATAATTTTATTACTTTTTTTTTGTAATTCATTCATGGGATATGGGTGTCGCTGTCTGGGCCAGCATTATTGCTCACTACTAGTTGCCCCTTGGTCTAAGTGGCTACATTTCAGACAGCAGGTCGGAGTTAACCACATTGTTGTGGATCTGGAGTCATATGAAGGCCAGATCAGGCAAGGATAGCAGATTTCCTTCTCAAAAGGAATTAGTAGACCAGGTCAGTTTTTACATCAATCAACTGTGGTTATATGATTGCTATTAGACTCGCTACCAATTCCAGATCTTTTTTTGAACTGCATTTTACCATCTCTCATATTGGGAGAGCATTCACCTGGGCTTCTGGGTTACTACTCAAGTGACATTACCATTCATTGTCGCTGGGTCAAAATCCTGGAAGTCCCTCCCTCATGGCATTGTGGGTCAACCTTCACCATACGAACTGCAATGATTCAAGAAGGCAGCTCACCACCACCTTCTCAAGAGGAACAAAGGTCGGGCAATAAATGCTGACCAGACACCGACGCCCACGTCCCGTGACAGAATAAAAAAAATTATGCCACTGCTTCACCTACCTTAAGATTTTATTCATTTACAAGTTGCGAGTGTCACGAGGAAGGCAAATAATGAACATTTATCACTATACAATTGGGTTGTTTTTGGAGCCATTTTAGAGGGCATTTAACAGTCAAGCATATTGTTGTAGGTGTGGAGTCATATGTAGGCCAGATCAAACATAGACAGTAGATTTCACTCTTTACAGGGCATGGTTGAATTAGATGGGGGGTGGGGTTAACCATAATTGAGGAGTTTCATGGTCACTGTTGTTGGGAACAGCTTTACGTCCCAAATTTCCTTAAAATTCTCAGTTGCCACAGGGAATTTAAACCCATACTTCCAGATTATTACTCCAGGATCCTCAAGTACCGGTCTAGTAACCAAACCACTGTTCTACCCTGACACTGACTCTGCACCAAAATTAGATCCCTAACTAAGCATAGGAAAGACTGAAACAAAACTGCTGGAGAAATTCAACAGCTCTGGCAGCATGTGTGGAGAGAAAGCAGAGTTGGGATTTCAGGTCCAGTGACCCTTCTTCAGAACTGAGTTTCTACAGAAATTTCAGTGTTTGCTTCGGATTTCCAGCATCCAATGGTTTTTTTTTAAAAAAATGTCAATCTTCTGACCCCGTCACAAACCCTGCCCCCAACCATAGTACTGGTATTGCGGCAGAGTCCATCTCAGATTGCTGATTTCCTTGGAATCCAACTTGACTGCTGTTATTCAATCAACCTGACCATATATGTTATTGACACACTCCAGGACAGGTGGGGCTTGACCCCCGACCTCCTGGCCCAGAGGTAGGACACTACCACGTGGCTCTACTTGATCACAGGCTGAGATTCTGATACCATATCATCACTAGCAGAAAGGCTGCTTTGCTTCCATCTCTGCAATATTCTTTTTTCTCAGGCTCTACCTCGGAGATTATAATGGCTGCAGAGAAGAGGGAAGAAGGGAAGAGGAAGGAAGTATTCAGTCATAGCACTCTGGCCAGCGTGAGTGTGCAGTGGGGTTGACAGATGAACTGGTCAACCACTGGCCAAATTTTTTTAAGCTCATATCTTTCTTCACTTCTCTCTCCAAGAACTGCCTTAAAACACCAACCCTTTAACCAAGGGAGCATCAGAGGAGCAGGAAAGCTGACGTTTCAGGTCAGGACCCTTCTTCAAACCGAAACGTCAGCTTTCCTGCCCCTCTGATACTGCCTGGCCTGCTGTGTTCCTCCAGCTCCACACGGTGTTATCTCAGACTCCAGCATCGGCAGTTCTTACTAACCCTTTAACCAATACAATGTAATGCCTCCACTTTGGGTTCAGCATCTCATATCCCAGTCAAGTCTATTTTGGTGCATTTTCTTTGGTACTTAAAAGCATATTGTTATCACATTTATTTAATTTTACCATCAAACTTTAATTTGCGCAGAGCTCTTTATATCTTACTTCCTGGAATCCTTAGAATAACAACAGCAGAATGCATACAGGTATCTTTCTCAAACCAGAAGTTCAGAAAAAAAACGGAGAACAGGAATAAATGATTTTTTTTTTTTTAAAAACGTCGACGGAATAGGTACCTCAGTTTTAATTTTGCGTAATGCCCAAACTGCATGCAGACACTGTGCTGTGTCGTAAGTCATGATGATTGATGGTGTTGAGCTGGAGAAAATGATTTTCAGGGTATAGTCAGCAACGTACTGTACTCTTGTGATGTTGGTCACACCTCCTGAATGGGAGAAACCAATGATTTAATTCTGACACAAATGAAAATAAAATGTTTTGTCACGTCAACAATGTAAGCGGGCACCAAGGGGCTTAGACCGCACCTTTCAAGCCTAAAATCACTTCCATCTAGAAGGACAAGGGATACATTTAGATATGTGGGAACACCACCACTTACAAGTTCTCCTCCGAGCCACTCACCACCCTGACTTGGAAATATATCGCCGTTCCTTCGCTGGGTCAAAATGCTGGAACTCCTTCCCTAAGGGCATTGTAGGTCAACCCATAGCACATGAACAGCAACAGTTCAAGAAGGCAGCTCACCACAACCTTCTCAAGGGCAACTAGGGACAGGCAACAAAAGCCAGCAATGCCCACAATCCACAAGAAAATAGCAAAAATGTAATATTAACAATAAGACATATTTTGTCTAAGATTCTCATCTTCTAGGGACAGCAAGATGAAAGCTGCGGTAAATGTGCCTTTTTTCAGTAGTATTCAAGTTCTGAACTCCAAATGAAAATTAACAGATTTTCTTCATATCTAAGTTTTGGGCCAACAACGAAAAATAGGTTCATTATACGGTTCCATGTACTAGCATTATCATTAATAACCCAAACGTGTTTTTTTTGCAAATAATAGCTCTTCCCTCATTGCTTTGCTCGTAGAAAAAGCAAAATGCAAAACTTGTTAAAACATTAATTACCTAGCATTATCACACAAATACTTGTATTTTGATTGCTCAATGTATATTTAAAATTTCTTCCTTCTCTAATAAGCATCTTTCTTAACTCAGTGTAACAAGCCGTCTTTTCCAATTGATCTTAATGCTTTCAAATAGGTTTATTTCTACAGCTCTGTCTTTAATTTGTCTTTATATTGAACATGCAGGAATATTTACGAATCATGTCAAAAACCTGCAACGGCATGAGCTGTGACGAAACTTGAGCTTTGTTTTTTTAAAAAAATTGACAAGTCCAATTGAAATTTTTAATGGAACGAAGAGAATAGTAAACTCTGGAAGGAAACACTCAAGTCAAGGATCCCATTGGAAAGCGACATCCAGCTGGTCTTTCCTCACTGTGCTGTGCTTCTCTCCTCAATGGAGATTGAGTGTGAGTTGACTATGTTCTATATACTTGTAAAAATGCTCACAGTTTGATTGTAAGTGCACATCTATGACAATCACAACAGATAAATTATCCATCTTGCAGACAAAAGGATTATATTTGATATCAAGCAAATTGGTGAACATCATAGAATGCTTACAATCATTAGAAACAGCTCCAGTATACACAGGAAAGCCCAGTTCTACACTGTGCTTGGTACACAACATCGCACAATAAACCTCTGGGGAGATTTAATAGAAGTAGTCAAATTTGAGTGTGGTTCTTCAGTTCTGAGGCAGGGTCACTAGACTCAAAACGTTAACTCTGATTTCTCTCCACAGATGCTGCCAGATCTGCTGAGCCTTTGCAGCTATTTCGGTTTTTGTTTCTGATTTCCAGCATTCGCAGTTCTGTCAGTTTTTTGTTTGAGTGGAGTTTGATAGGATGAATAGGAAGAACCCACTTCCACCAGTAAACTGTAGGTGACACATTGGCTCAGTGGTTAGCACTGCTGCCTCACAGCGCCAGAGACCCTGGTTCAATTCCAGCCTTGAGTGACTGTCCGTGTGGAGTTTGCACATTCTCCTTGTGTCTGCGTGGGTTTCCTCTGGGTGCTCCGGTTTCCCCCCACAGTCCAAAGGTTTGTCTTGGGGGAGGCGATGGCCTAGTGGTATTATCTCTGGACTGTTAATCCAGGGACTCAGATAATATTCTCAGGACCCGGGTTCGAATCCCACCACAGCAGATGGTGGAATTTGAATTCAATAAATATCTGGAATTAACAATCTAATGATGACCGTGAATCCATTGTCGATCGTCGGAAAAACCTATCTCGTTCACTAATGTCCTTTAGGGAAGGAAACTACCATCCTTACCTGGTCTGGCCTACATGTGACTCCAGATCCATAGCAATGTGGTTGACTCTTAACTGCCCTCTGAACAATTAGTGATGGGCAATAAATGCTGCCTAACCAGCGACACACTCATCCCATGAATGAATAAAGGGAGGGTAGGTGGATTGGCGAAGCTAAATTGCCCACAGTGTCCAGGGATGTGCAGGCTAGGTGGGAAATGCAGGGTCATAGGGATAGGTAGAGGGTGGGTTGGTCTGGGTGAGATGTTCTTCAGAGGGTCGGTGTGGGGTCAATGGGCCTAATGGCCTGCTTCTACACTGGATTCTATGATTGGCCAGTAACTGGATGTCAGGTAATTGACAAAAGAAAGGAAGGGAAGAGTGGGGGAAATTTTGCATTTCAGAGAGAGCTGCTACAATTTTGAATGCAGTACTTTTCACGGGATTTTTGGGAGCAGTGTTGGCTGGATCTAGTCACCTTTGAACTGAATGGCTTACTTGTTTCAGAGGGCAGTTAGTCGACCACATTACTGTGAATCTGGAGTCACACGTAGGCCAGATAAGGATGGCGAATTTCCTTCTCTGAAGGACATTAGATCATACATCAGAGAGTTTGGAAGCAGGCCATTCGGTCTGTCGACCTTCTGAAGAGCATCCAACCCAGACCCACACCTCTCTTCTTATAAATCCACAGAGGTAAGACAGTAAGAAAGTAAGTTAATAAGTTCATACTAAATGTCTTCCTCACCTGTTGACTTACATACAAGAGGTGCATTTCCCATGGTCAATCCACATAATCTGCACATCTTTGGACTGTGGGAGGAAACAAGAGCACCCAGAGGAAAGCCACGCAGACATAGGGAGAACGTCTGTGTGGAGTTTGCAATGTCACCTGAATCGGGAATCGAATCCAGGTCCTGGTATTGTGAGGCAGCAGCACTAACAACTGAGCCACCGTGCTGCCCAGATATTTGTGAAGCTGGGCTTTTACAGCAATCGATGACAGTTGTCATGGTCACATTTGCTGAGATGAGCTTTACATTCCAGATTTATAATGAACCCACTGAGTATTAATTATTCTGGGCCTCTCTATTACTGCTCCAGTGTCTTTATCACTATGCTGATTAAAACCTCAAAGCTTGTTGGGAGCCAATTCAACAATAACTTTCAAAAGGTAATGGGATACTTATCTGAAGGAGAAAAATATTGCAACATTATAGGGAAAGAGCAGGGCACTGGAACGAATTGGACAATACTTTCAAAACGCCAGCACAGCCACAATGGCCTCCATCAATTCTTGAAATGTCTACGACATTTTACTTTCCTCTAATTGTCACCTCACTTGTACATACATTATTGTCACTCTTGAGCAATTCCCGAGCTCATTACTGCTCAATTCTCCCTCTAGTGGAAGAATTATTTCACATTTGCTGGTGCCTCCACAAGAGCAGCTCCCCAGCTTTCCCAAACCAAGAGTGAGATTTCCCAACACCTCCCTTGGAGGCGAATTCAACTACTGTGTCTGCGTCACTCAAACATCCGACAATCACTGCTTCCTTGTTTGATTATTACCATTTAACAAAGACAATCATCCAAAACATCTCCCACTATAAATCCACAGAGGTAAGACAGCAAGAAAGTAAATTAATATGTTCATACTCAATGTCTTCCTCACCTGTTGACTTACATACAAGAGGTGCAATTTCATCCAGTGGGTGCAGCATGCTGAACATTGTAGGCAGTGGCTCCCTGTAAGCAGTAACACAGCAACAATCAGCACAATTGCTGGACCACCACTAAACATGGCATTCCCCCCCACATGCTAGAGGTTTAACAGCAAGTGTGTCTGGACAAAGACACATGATTTGTCCCGTCTTGAATCTTCAAACCCTGCTGTGACTCCTGAACCCAGTCACTAATTCTGCAAAATATTGAGCTTAAACACACCAATGGCAGAGTCTGTGCCGGGTGTGACATGGAGCTACACAAACTAAGCAAGCTGCTGGTTGTCTGTTGACTTCTCATTTCTGCCAGCGTAGCAGGACGGCAAATAAGGGGCCTCAAGACACTAACAGCAACAGACGTGGCGTTTACTGGAAAATATTTGTAAACAGAATCATAGAATCCCTACAGTGGGGAAGTAGTCCATTCGGCCCATCAACTCCACACCGATCCTCCAAACAGCATCCCACCCAGACCCACACCCGACCCTCTCCCTGTAACCCTGCAATTCCCATGGTTAATCCACCCAACCTACACGAAAAGGTAAACAGTGAACATGTCATTTAATAATGAGTCCTTACACTCACACACCATACAGAGTTCATAATAGAAGAAAATGTGGTATCCAACTCCCTGTAGTGCACAGTAAGCATCATTCACCAAAGGATGATGAAAGGGGTAAACCATTGGGAGCAGGGTGTATTTAAGCTTACAGCATGTGGACAGATTAGCCTTCTCATAAAAATCATTGATTCATTTTGACAATTTTTTTTACACAAAAGTGAGACTACTTGTATCATATTTCGTGGAAGTAATTAAAATATTTTTAGAATTTAAGAATATTCAATGAACAATGGTGTAAAATGGTTAGCTAACTTGTGTTAAACTAGATCCCATAATGTAGTGGATTAAGAAAATAAAATAAGTGGTTTGAGGTGAGTGAAATTGCGTGACTGGATAACTGGTAAACTGGATGGAGTAAGTGCAGGCGGAATTTAATCCCAATAAGTGCGAAGTGTTGCATTTTGGGAGGTGTAATAAGGGAAGGATATACATAATAAATGGTAGGTCCTTAAGGAGTACTGAAGAACAAAGGGACCCTGGTGTACATACTATAGGGCCCTGAAGGTGTCAGCACAGGTAGACAGGGTGGTGAAGAAGGCATATGGGATGCTTGTCTTTATTAGCCAGGCCATAGATTGTAGGACCAAGGATTTCTTGTTATAATTTTATAAATTGGTAAGGTCACAGGTGGAATACTGTGTGTAGTCACCACACTATCAGAAGGACATGAATGCACTGGAGAGGATGCAGAGAAGAGTCACCAGCATGTCACCTAGGATGAAAAGTCTCAGTTATGGGGAAAGACTGGATAGGCTGGGCTTCAGAGCAGATGAAGCTGAGGGTGGGGATTGGATTGAGGGATATAAAATTGAGTGGTATAGACAAACTAGACTGTGAACATCAGAGTAGCAGGAAGGTGGACGTTCCTGATGAAGGGTCCTGGCCCGAAACATCGACGTTCTTGCTCCTCTGATGCTGCCTGACCTGCTGTATTCCTCCAGCTCCACGCTGTATTGACAGTTAAATGGGATTACTGTAGTTTGGTGTTTGCTGGTCAGCACAGACGTGGTGGGCCGAAGGGCCTGTTTCTATGCTGTACGACTCTACAACTCACTGAAATAAAAGAATTTCAAATCTTAAACCAGATTTGAACTGAGAGCTCGGTTCCTTCATACTGACCAGGTTTGCAGGCTGATGAATAAAGTGCCACACAGCAAAACCAGCAGCAGCTCTTCCAGAACAAACAAAGCCATCACCAATACATGCCCCTCATCCCCAACACACACTCGCCTAAATTTAATCACTATGGCACTGCATTAATATTATCGTGGAGGTCCAAATTGAGACGGCATGCCAACTGACTAAAAGCAACAATAAAGTAACGACACTGGCACCCTGCAAGAGTGAGATCAAATAGGATAAAAGGTTCCAATAAAGAAGGACCAATTGTAAGAAAGCAGAAAAATGCCAAACTATGGTAAATGTATAACAGCGACTTTAACAGAATTAATCTCAAGCACGAGCACAATTTTTAGTTGCCTACCTCAGAGGACTTAAAGGTGCTTCTTGCACAGGATTACTGCGCTCAAAAATTAACCCATACTTGGTTGCCCAAACATCTGCAACCTAGGGAGAGACCAGACAACATTATTTAAATAAGTAATGTATAAAGCAAAGTGGTGCATGTACGGAAATACTTTTAGCCCAGGGAGTGAGATCCAATGTCAGTGTAGCTTTTTACTCCCATCACTTAATGCCCAAAAATACTTATGATAAAACAAATTTACTTTGAAGAACAGTCATTGTTAATTGTATATTAATTGATCTTTAATCATATTTGTGTGGTGAGCATTAAATGAGGACTCAACTTCACTCACTTACATAGGAGTTGGCAGAAACCGTGGTTGTTGCCTTATTGCTCTATGGCCTATAACGTGTCTCTCCATTAATAAAAGTTTGTACATGTTTGAAGACTCCAATTCTACCTTTTAGTGTCTGGTTATTTGAGATGTAACAGTTTAGGTAAATGTTAGAAGCATTTTATTTGCAAAAGGAATCACGCTAACAGCAAGAGGATGAATGGCTACTTAATCAATATTTAGCAAATCATGTTGAGGCCAAAATCTTGGCAAGGAAACATTTAAAGAACAGAAACTATCACCTGAAAAGGTAATGGGGCAATGTAGTCCTTGCCATCCACGGTGTGCACATTCACACAGGATTTCTGTACAATACACACGCACTTCTCTGTCTTCTCTTGAGCTGAAAGAGCAAATGCTTTATCACAGGTCATGAGGCGAGAAGCTAACAGGCCCACAGTAAAAGGATTCATAAAGAAAAGTCATGAGTGTAACATTACTAGAACAATGTTAATTATAAAGTCGTTTTGGTCAAACATAGGTTCCAGACATTCAAGAAGGCAGCAGAATACAACTTTCCTAAGGGTGATGAAAGACTGAAAATAAACAGTGGCCTTGCTATCAATGCCCTCATCCCATGAATGAGTAAATGTTCTGCTAGGTACCTGACAGAAGGCCAGCAATAAGTCTCAGAGTCACCTCAGATAATCTACACAATCGGTGTTTCCACTTGACCAATGCAGAACAAACTTACTAACCCTGGAGCAACTTATTCAAGGGTGGGAAATTTAGTTGTGGGTTGTCAAAAGTAATGATTTGGGTATTTAAGAAAGATAAAAAGTGCAGCCAAAATCATGCACATTCATCAGGCAGATAATCAGCTAGTCCATTTTAGGCTACCATGTGAAATCTTACATTACAGGTCATGTGGAAGTAAGCAAAAAGAACTCCAAACCCTAGGGACATGTCTACGCTCTTGAAACCAACACTGTTACAGAAATTATGAATGTCTCAACAAAACGATTTAAAAGGAGAAACCTCAAGTTATATTTCTGTTCAAAAGTCCTCTCAAAATACTGATACATGAGAAAGACGGCCTCACTGACCCATCTCATTCTGAGCCCCCTTGTGAGCAGGGTCATGCAAGGAGCACCTCCCTTCGTAAGAATGATGCGTTGATCAAAAACAAGCTGAGCCCAGACCAACAGCTTGAGGTCCGACAGCAACTTGCATTTACCTAGCACCTTTAACATAGCAAAATGTCCCAAGATGCTTCATCATGTATAATTTGACATATGATGACAGTGAGTAAAAGTCTGGATCAAGAATGTTTTGCTAATGGCATAGATTTCCAATCACTCTCTTCACAGGAGAGTAAGAGGCAACTTGATTGAAAAACATAGGACCCTGAGAGGTTAAGGGTAGGCAGGAATGCGGGTTTGAGGTTACAATCTGATCAGTCAAGACCTTATGGAGTGGTGGAGCAGATTCAAGGGACTGAAGAGCCAACTGCTACTCCTTCCATCCTGTTTGTCTAATCAAATTGCACACTGAATAGAGACACACCACGTTGCGACAACTTTAGAACAAGGTTGTTGAACATATCGGAAGATGGAAAGCAGGCAAGTTATTTAAAGCATTACTTTCATAAGAGCTGACTGTTAGAAAAATGTCCAATCTCCAATTTTCTCCCAGCAAGCAATGCATTAGAAGGCAGAGGAGTGGAACAAATGTGCAAAGACAATATATATTTTTCTTTTCTGCTAAAGAGAATTGCAAAATCAAAATAGGGATCAAAGGTTTTCATGATAACTTTGGTTCAACAACGCACCTTCTGCACAATCGGTCTTGTCTTGTGGAATGCTGAAATCACACCATAGTGCCTAAAACCAAAGACAAAAAAAAGACTGGTGAGCGCCTCATGATTTAATTTTGGTTTTCCCCTAATTATTTTACCTTGAAAACCACATCATTTAACGCAAATGCACTGCCCCAGTTCAGAATTCTGGCAGCCTGCCACAGCACAGCTTGTGGTGGGCTGGATGACACAAAAGGGGTGTTAGCAAGCAACGGTTATAGAAAATGCTCGAGGAATTAAATATAGCAAGTGTATACCGGAAGCATAGATATTACATTGGTGCTCATGAAAGCAGAGTATTGTGAGAATTTTTCTGAGATGCTTTGCATCATTCAGGCATTTAATAAATCCAGTTATTTGTAGCTTCACTAATTCTGCTTACTGTTAATTGTTGGTGTGTAGCTAAGTTCTAGTGAGAATCGGTTTATTTCTAAATCTCTAGTACTGGCAAGCACATCAAATGCTAGAAGAGGGTGCAGATGAGATCCACTAGAATGGTTTCAGGGATTAGGGCCTTTGGTTATGAGGATACTGAAAACACTGGTACTTTTTCTGAGCAGAGGAGGTGACTTAACAGAGGTGGTCAAAACTACGTTCAATAAAATTTGCGGACGCAAACCTAAAACACAGTCTTGCTAAAAAGGAAAATAAATTCTTAAGGGCCAAACAGTGAAACGTGAGGGTGGGGGTCACATCAAATTTACTGCAGAGGGCTTTTCAACAATAAGCAAGGATCTTGGGAAATCCACTTGCAGAAATTTGAAGAGTGTGCATCGACGTCCCATATATCACTCATGGCTAGATGGCACTTCCTGTCACACACATGACACTGCAGCCAGAATATCAGCAGTTCTCAATTGATATCCCCACAAAGGAAGTGAAGGTTCTAATCTGAATGAATGAATGCTAAAGCCAATCAGACTGAGGAAGATTCACACTGTCCATATCAAGATAGCTGCACACCCACGTTTTTGCAGCAGATTAAGACATCTGCATTATAGGAAACAATGCTTTCAGCCTTAAAAACAGTTCACTGAGTGCTGCAGGAGATTAACTATTACGTAATTCTAAAGTAAATAATTTTCTTCAAAAGCATATTAACACTGACTGTGGGAAATGTAAGAAGACCACTCGATTTGATTTGACTTTGATGTATTATTGGCACATGTATCTGGGTACAATGAAAAGTTTTGTTTTGCATGCAGTACAGGCAGATCATGCCATACAAAGTGCAAAAGGGTACTTAAACAGAGTGAAGAATACAAAGTTATGGCTACAGAGAAGGTGCACAGACAGTAAGATCTACATTAAATGTAAAATTTGAGAGGTCCATTCATAAGTCTAATAACAGCAGGGAAGAAGCTGTTCTTGAATCCATTCAGCTCCTTGGGTTTCCTTCACCTTCAGATATTAGCAAACAAATTGGGCTTTTAACAAGTTGTCCCAGTCACCGTTATTGAGACTAGCTTTGTATTTGGGATTTATTAATTTAATATAAACTCCACCAGGTGCCAAGCAGTTCTCCCAGACCATTATCCTAGGCGTCTGCATTACAAATGCAGTTGAGGTTTATGTTGAGTTGGGGGGGGCAGAATTGAGAAAGATAAACAACACCTCAACTTACTTATTTATGATAATTGACTCATTACATGAAGAGAGTGATACGCAGGTATAAAAACATTCCAGAACTATTGCTGGACTTAAACTTTCAAGCAAAGCACTTGCCTGAGTTCATAGAATCCCTACGGTGTGGAAACAGGCCCTTTGGCCCAACAAGTCCACACCAAACCTTGGAGCATCCCACCCAGACCCATCCCCCTATAACCCACCTAATCTACACCTCCCTGAACACTGCGGGCAATTTAGCATGGCCAATCCACCTAACCTGCACATCTTTGGACTGTGGGAGGAAACCGGAGCACCCGGAGGAAACCCACGCAGACACAGGGAGAATGTGCAAACTCCACACAGACAGTCGCCCGAGGCTGGAATCGAACCTGGGTCCCTGGCGCTGTGAGGCAGCAGTGCTAACCACTGTGCCACCAATTTTGAACTTGGAGCACAGGGTTCAGAAACCATCGCGCTCACCATTACACCACGGCAACCTGAGCTTCAAGCCCAACACCTTAATGGAAGCATGTGAGAATGCTTTAGATTTTGGATATGAGCCTCAATTAAATTTGTTTCCAGTGTGAGAACAGCAGCACAGACCACATTTACTCTCCATATCTTGCTATGCTCTGAAGGTATTTCAGGCTTTTGCCTCGAATGCCTGCAACCCTTCTCATACTGCTGTTAAGCAAGGATGTCTGGGACTTATTGCAATAGCAACTGACACTGCTTATCTCAAAGCCCGGAGGGCAGGAGTCAGAGTGGGTCTTGGAAGTGCTGCATATTTTCATGGTGAGTCCTTCTCTAACAAGACAGGGGTGGGGGCACAGTGGTTCACTGGCTAGCAATGTTGCCTCACAGCAACAGGGACCCGGGTTTGATTCCACCCTTGGGTGACTGTCTGTACGGACTTTGCACATTCTCCGCGTGTCTGCGTGGGTTTCCTCTGGGTGCTCTGGTTTCCTCCCATAGTCCAAAGATGTGCGGGTTAGGAGGATTGGCCATGCTAAATTGCCCGTAGTGTCCAGGGACATGCAGGGTTATAGGAATAGGGTGGGGGTGGGGGGGATACTGAGCTGGCTGCTGTTCGGAGGGTCGGTATGGACTCAATGGGCCGAATGGCCTGCTTCCACATTGTTAGCATTCTATGACTCTAAACATCCTTCGTTTCGTTCAGGATATCTCAACATGAGTTCCTTCTGCTGTGATAAGCTTGTTGAGCTCAATGTGGCACACGTTACTATGCTGGTGGAGGAGTGAGTGGATATGAAATACAGGACTCATCTTAATGTCAAGATTGAAATGAGCGACTGGAGATACCAGACATCAATGTAACAGAAGGGTTACCAGAGCAGTAAAGAAGGAAAGGTATCAGTAAGATCAAAGTGAGCAGAATAGTCTATCAAAGCTGCAACTATTTACTGCAATATCAAATTAGACTGCATAACCAGAAAGAAAAAATATGTAAAGAAATGGAGCAGAAACGTGGTAATGATCAGATGGTGTTTTCACTTTCACTTGTTTATTTACTTTAGCCAATATACCGCCCACCCAACAAGGTCACGAACTTGAAACAGAGGGCTTGAGATAAATTTCCCAAATTGGCAAGTTATGCCTGTAATAAGCAGAGGAAATTTTGAAAGCAGAATTGAATCTATTCTTGAAGAGAACACAAAAGCAGAGCTATGGGGTTGGGACAAAGAAGTGGAACTGATTGAACAGTACTTTCAACAAATCAGCACACACAAGATAGGCCAAATGCCCTCCGTCTGTGATGTTAGAGAATGAGGACAGAAGGTATAAAATGTTGAGCACCAATGCTGAGAAGGCAAGAAGCCATGGGTAATTGTGCTCCTTTCCCAGTGGCAAGTTGCCTGTGTTGCTAAGTAAGACAGGGAAAACAAAGTATTCAGCTAAGGAGGCCACTCAGCAAAGTGCCTGCCACACTACACTAACTCAACATTACTGCAATTACGCGGTTCTTTCTTGAGGGTTTGCCTGGCCTGACTGATGCTCTGTTGCTACAAAGCTGAAAAAAAATATTAAGAGCATCCACCTTACTGCAAAGGCTTCGGGTCAACACATATCCAACAACCTGCTGTAAAGACTCTGCTCAAGTTCTGACAACAGTGACAAATTCCACCCCAGCAGCCAAGACAACTGAAAACTACTCCAAAATAGAAAGTCAATTCATTTTATCCCCTAAAATTAATGAGTTTTTTTTTTGAAAAATCAAATTCTGCTCTGTGATCTACATTTTTGCCAAAAAAATGATCAGTTCTTCCTGGGGCCTTTTTATTTTGCCAAAATCTATTCATTAGTTTTTGCGATATATTGCTTACACATGGAGTGACGAGTACAAACAGTGCCTCCAACCATCTACCCACCCTCAGTGGCAGAGATAATGATTTAGCTTCATGTCATAGATATTTGGAACTCTTTGCTACAAAACGCTGGCGATACTCAGGCAATTCAAATATCGAAATCTGAGATAGATACTTTGCGTAAAGATATTGCTTATGAGTCAAAAGTGAGAACATTGTAAGATCTAAAAAGCAAAATACATTTGTTCCACAATTATAAATGTTTTGGTGATCCATTCTGGGATAGAGCACCCATCAAACAGACTATAAGATGGCACTGTGCCACCCTCACCCGGATGTGATACTGGATGCTCTTTACACAATGTAGGTACTTTGGAAAGGATTGTGCATTTGAAAGGATGTATCAACCAGCACTGAAGTGGTGAGGGCTGGCTTCAGTTCCAAAAATAAATGTTAGGAATTGGATTTATACCCTTGTCATGGATCTCAGCAAAGAGAAAGAGGCATGTTTTTGGTCAAGCTCAGATTGGTGGAATTTTGTACAGTAAGATTTGAATAAGAGTGTCAATGGGCAACAAAGATAGAGTCATAGAGATGTACAGCACAGAAACAGACCCTTCAGTCCAACCCATCCTTGCTGACCAGTTATTCTCAATTAATCTAGTCCTACTTGCCAGCATTTGGCCCACACCCGTCTAAACCCTTCCTATGCATATACCCATCCAGATGCCTTTTAAATGTTGTAATTGTACCAGCCTCCACCACTTTCTCTGGCAGCTCATTCCATACACGCACCACCCTCTGCGTGAAAGAGCTGCCCCTTAGGTTCCTTTTAAATCTCTTTCTCCTCTCACCTTAAACCAATGCCCTCTAGTTTTGGACTCCCCTACCCTGCGGAAAAAAAGACTGACTATTCACCTTATCCATGTCCCTCGTGACTTTATAAACTTGTCTAAGTTCTTTGTTTAAGTGTTATCTTTTTGCTACAGATTTAAATGAGGCCGTACCAAATGCCCTGTTTTTTTTTTTCAGAGGAATTTTGTACAAATGAGTTCGGTGGAGAAACATGTCAGCCTGAAGCTGTTAGTCCATCAAATTGCAACATTAATTTCCAGGTTTACATTTGTTAGTTCTCACTCCCGTTGAAACATGTCAGACATCCACATTAAATAAATCCTGCAGCCCTTATGTATAGATTTTGCACAGGCTCAGAGCCAGGTCGGTGACAGTGAACACAATGGTGAGTTTTGGATGAATAAGATTATCATTGTGCAACGTAGGATAAGGATCCTGAAGAAAGCAGCAACACGTGGAGAAGCATAGCCCAAGTGTGACATCAAAGATAATTCTAAAATACCTTTATTTATTCCTGTGTGAAGTGCACACAGAGTTACACAGCACAGGTACAGACCATTCAACTCACATGCTGGTGCTTCAACACCTCCCGCCCCACTGTCACCCAACCACATCAACACAGTGGGGGTAAAAATATATTCATTTGAAGTGCTCCTCTTGAGTTTATTGACAGCTATGACTTCAACTTTTCAGGGGCTGCTCTTTGGTTTACAGGCAGTCCTTTCACTCTCACCACTCTTCCATGAGGTGATGCATTCATGTGGAACAAAACGTTTGTATTTCTGTTAATGTGTAGGAATTTTGACTCTCAGAAAAGCAGAATTGAAAGAATTGATAAATATCCTTAAAGCCGCAACACAAAGCAATTTTCTGGTCAGCACTGCATTTAAATTGGCATGAGACAAAATTCATCAGTTAGCAACAAAATCTTTGTTGAAAAACGTCCAACATAGTCTATTGAAAAAAAATCCTAAATATGCTTTCCCTGGTCTGGTGAGGTCAAAACTGGACAGTTGCATGTTTGTCGCTAATATGGTCACTGTACTTCAAGTAATTCATAGTATCTGAAGTGCTTTGAGATATGTCAACATAGAAATGCAAATCATTACAAGCTAAAGCAGCTCAGAATCAAAATATCCACTGGCAGCGTTCATTACAATAGCACCCACGCATAAAGCATTTCCTGAATTCATACATCGTAACCTAGAGATTCCAAATGCATTTGTAAGGACTTAATTCCCTCAGTTTTTCTGCTTCCCAGTTAGCTAATTATTCCTTTCTTGAAAGATTTAAAACTGCTTTCTGTCACCATTTTGCAAATCCTCTCCCCCACTTTGCAGCTCCTTGTATCTTTCCTCTCTTTCCCCATGTTTCAGTCTCATTCACCTCCTGTCAAGCCTGACAGCCTCGCAACCCCTGCCAACCCCTTTGATCCCTCCAGTCTGCGCCTCACCCTCTATAAAATTCTGTCAGTTCACCTGCAATAGGTTTGGTGATTGAATTTTCCTGAGCGTTTAAGGTAAATCTGGCAAAGGGGTGGGGGGTGGGGGCAAATCCAGTCGCTCCAGGTGTGATTTTATTGTTCTAAAATAGCCTTCCATTTCTCTTACATGTATTTTTGCTGTTGGCCTCAGCCACACTTGTGGTAGTGAGATCTACATTCTAATGTTAGAATCAACTCCAATTCAAAAAGGGTATTTGGATAGCTGGCCAATGGTCTTGCGAGTATTGCAAAGCTCCATACCACAGTAACTCAAGGTAGGTAAACACAAATTTTAATCCATCAGCAGCAGTATGCACCATTTAAGACACAGATGTTTCAGGAAAATGAGCTGAAACAGACTGTTGAAGCAATCCAAGCTGTGTAAAGAGATATTATTGGAAGCTTCTTTAATCATTATAAACAGACGTTTATCTTGCTTGTACATGAAGATATACAGATATATGATCAGGGAGCAAACATATTTAAAAGCAGGATTCTGTCACTTGACTTTATGATAAGTAAATGTGATAAATCATGGTCTTGCCTGCCGGACAGGGCTGTCCACTGTAAATGCCTTATAAACAGAACAGGCATGGCTTTTACTTCCTCTGCTCCAGATGACCATATTACCAGCCACATACAGCTCTTCATCATAGTCCAGCTCTTCCCCAATGTCACAGGTGCCTTTCCTTAGATGCCAACTCTCCTGCAACAACACAAGTTTTATCAGCTGCATTCAGAATCATCCTCACATTAAAAAGAGAGTGTTCCCTTGGAGCTGTGTTTCACAGCATTTCTAAATCAAACTGCCATGAATTAGACAATTTGGTTCTACACGTCTCCAATGAACCCTCAAAGGTGCTTTTTTTAAATTTAAATAATGAATCATCACCTTGCAAAAGAACGAGGTAATTTTATATATATACATATATTAGGAAGAGGATTACTTATTTTGAATTAAGGGCTTTCGACAATTGGTCCTCACACAAGGAAAAGCAAATGAGCTCTTACATAGCCCCTGATATTCTTGAAGTTCATAAACTTATTAACAAACCTTTTACAAACACACACTTATGCTCGAGCGTTATACTACTACTTATCTCATTTCAAGACTTTTCAGCGTTGAGAGAAACCAAATGAATGATGAAAGCAGAGCAGGGGAGAGGAGGAGAGGGCTTTGTGCTCATTCTGTCTGCCTTTGATAACAATCCTAAATTTAGGAACCTGGCTGCTGATTTCTTAACCAGACACTATTTGCAACAAGAGATAGTAGGAACTGCAAATGCTGGAGAATCTGAGATAACAAGGTGTAGAGCAGGATGAACACAGCAGGCCAAGCAGCATCAGAGGAGCAGGAAAGCTGACGTTTCGGGCTTAGACCCTTCTTCAGAAATGGGGGAGGGGAAGGGGGTTCTGAAATAAATTGGGAGAGAGGGGGAGGCAGATAGAAGATGGATAGAGGAGAAGACATGTGGAGAGGAGACAGACAGGTCAAAGAGGCGGGAATGGAGCCAGTAAACGTGAGTGCAGGTGGGGAGGTAGGGAAGAGATAGGTCAGTCCAGGGAGGACGGACAGGTCAAGGGGCGGGATGAGGCTAGTAGGTAGGAGATGGGGGTGCGGCTTGAGGTGGGAGGAGTGGATAGGTGGGAGGAAGGACAGGTTAGGGAGGCGGGGACGAGCTGGGCTCGTTTTGGGATGCGGTAGGGGGAGGGGAGATTTTGAAGCTTGTGAAGTCCACATTGATACCATTGGGCTGCAGGGTTCCCAAGCAGAATATGAGTTGCTGTTCCTGCAACCTTCGGGTAGCATCATTGTGGCACTGCAGGAGGCCCAGGATGGACATGTCGTCCGAGGAATGGGAGGGGGAGTTGAAATGGTTCGCGACTGGGAGGCGCAGTTGTTTGGTGCGAACCAAGCGTAGGTGTTCTGCAAAGCGGTCCACAAGCCTCCGCTTGGTTTCCCTGATGTAGAGGAGGCCACAACGGGAACAGCAGATGCAGTATAACACATTAGCAGATGTGCAGGTGAACATCTGCTTGATGTGGAAAGTCTTCTTGGGACCTGGGATGGGGGTGAGGGGGGAGGTGTAGGGGCAGGTGTAGCACTTCTATTGTTGCAGGGAAAAGTGCCGGGTGAGGTGGGGCTGGAGGGGAATGTCGAGCGGACAAGGAAGTCACAGAGATAGTGGTCC